AAGGAAAATCAATAGGACATTTGTGTGCTACTTTGTGGTGTGCTTTTAATCCTATCAAGGGACAAGACTCGTTGCTAAGGGATTCTCACAAACCTATGGAGTGGATTACAAAGGAACATTTTCTCCAGTTGCAAAAATGAATATAGTTTGAGTAATCTTATCAATTGTCGTTAAATTAGGATTGGCCTTTATTCCGTAAAATATGCATTTTTAGAGAGGGACTTGGAAGAAGATGTTTAAATGAGTCGCCCACCTGGACATCCGCAAGAATCACAAAGGGACTTGGTTTGCAAGTTGAATATAACTCTTTATGGCCTCAAGCAATCACCGAGAGCTTGGTATGCAAATCTGAGTTCTGTTCTTATGGGTACAGGATATAAAAGAAGCACAACATATTCTTTATTATTTATCAAGAAAGAAGCATTCAGCACCACTGTGATTCTGATATATGTTGATGATCTTGTGTGTAGGAAATGAGAATGGGCACAAGCGGTTGATATGACTTTCTGCAACTATAGGGCTCGTTTGGTACATATGATTGAATTGGAACGAATAACTTTGAAATTTCAAGGTATATTTTGAGGTGAAGGTGAATGGTTTTTCATGAGTAATTCATCTTCGATCCTCTAGGTGGTCATAATATTATTATTTCTCCCTTCAACATACTTTAATTAAATTAACCATTCCAATCCAATCATGTGTACCAAATGAGTCCTAAAGTATCATGTAGGTTGGAAGAAAGTACAAAGTGTTTGGTAGCAACACCTGTACCGAAAAGGTACATATAGCCAACAGTAGGAACTCCTCGGCTAGGTATATATCTTGTACACAGGTTATTTAATGCATCTGGGGGAGACAGAATATTATGTTGCGACAAAAAATGAATGTTGTTAGTTATATTATGCGTGTAGCCGTCTCAACATTATGTATATATCTTGCAATAAAATAGGGACCTTGATCTACTACTTCGAACATTGTAAACAGGAAAAACCTGAAAGTCATGATCATTTACATGTGCATACGTGTATATAGGAAATACATGTAAAGTTTACACTTGGATGGTTGATAAACCTTGAACATTATTTTTCAATGCATAGAAGAAATTACTTAGGTTGTTCTGGGAACTGCAATCATAGGGAGACCGCCATCTATGTGAAGGGTGAACATGGTCCTATAGGTTACCAGCTTTGTTTCATCGGCCAATTTGAAGCGAAAGAAGCTAAGGAGAGCCATCGCTACTATCTTCATCTGTCGGTAAGCGAAGTCCTTCCCTAGACAGATTCGCGGACCTGCCTGCAAATAGCACAAATGAAAGTGAAACTACTATTGGTGAACGTTTGGGTAATTAGCATCTATATTTGTGATTAAGGAAAAAAAAAAATATTTTCACTAACGTGAAATGCGACGAATTTGAAGGGTGTTTCGGGCTTGAAAATTCCATTTTCAAGCCATCTTTCAGGTCGGAAATCATCAGCATCTTTTCCCCAGATATAAGGCATTCTCCCCATGGCATAGGTGATGTAGTTTACGTTGTCTCCTTTTCTCACTCTAAAGCCATCTGGAAGAATATCATCTGCATCTGCACATCTCCCATCCTTATAGAAAACCAAGACATAAAGATGTCAATATTTACAGTAATATGAAGAATTCTTCCAACTTAAACAGTTGAAGTTCACTACCTATTTCTCCCTTAGTAATAGACAGGGTTTTAAATTTCCTTAAGAGACTTGGCTCCTTATTTGCCAAGGACTCGTTCATCTATGCAGACTAAATATAGTTACACACGTGTGCACAAACTATTTATGCACATGTGCCAGTATGTAATTTGCAAGTAAGCGGGAATAATTCCTTAAGACAAACAGTGTTCTAAGTTTCCTTGTGGAATAATGACTTTCTTGTATTGGTTTTGATATATTTAACAGACTTTAATCAAGGTTTTGGCACTGTCCTGTTTGGAAGCTCACAAACTACTATAGAAAGTAAAGAAAATAACAAGTATCTTACTAAAAAAAATGTGACGAGGAAAATTAAAATCAGGTTATTCAAGTATACACATACAATTGGAACTGCAGGGTAGAGCCTTAAGGTCTCTGTCAGCACCGCGTGAAGATAGTGCATTCGTTCTAGAGTTTCTTCATTATGTTTTCCACAAATTCATCAACTTTCGCTTCGCCTACTTGATCACCAACGACATCCCTCACTTCTTGTACAACTTTTTCTTGTATTAGAGGGTTCTTTCTGAGCATGTAGAAGAACCATGACAGTGTAGTTGCACTGGTGTCTTTGCCAGCAAACATAAAAGTCAGTATTATACCCCTCAGATATTTGTCATTCATTTTTCTTCACAATCTCCAGTAGAAATCTTGACAGTATGTCCTCCTTGTCAATCTTTGAAACAATAAAATAAAATTCAGAACTTCTTAGAAAACTAAAATCTTAAATTTACCATTAATGTAGGGAAATGATTTCAGCACGCCTTGTTTCTCCTTCTGGACACCCTTGTTTATTTTTCCCTTTAATTGTCTTTTGATTTCTACAATCCGAAGGTCAGAAATAAACTGTGGGGCGTGGGGCGTAGGAGGGGAAAAAGGATGTGTGCAAAACACTACCCTTGCTGTAAGTTTTCCTCACAAGAGAAACCGATGGTGTGTAAAAAACAAATAGAATTACATGGTAGAGACACATTCTGTAAAGCCAATGTAGTAATGTAAAATTGACTTACAACATCTTTTTGCTCCTCTTGCAATCTCCTCTTGCTGCTGATAACTTGGTGCACAAAATCATCTAGAACTTTGACATACTTTTTAAGGGAGGCCTCAGAACCAAGGTTGAAGATTCTTTTTAGTTTCCAGAATGGATCAATGTAGCGAAAATAGGTCAGTGCAGTAGATTCATCAAAGGCCTTCATGAATGCAGTCCCTTCTTTGCTTGACCCCTCCAGGCAATGCAGTTCTATTCCAAACCCGACTTTGAATATGGAATCCAAGGTACATCTCATAAGCAAATCCTACAAATAGAATCAAATGCAAAATGTTAGGTTTGATCTGAAGAGTTTGTTGAGTGTGAATCCTACATCAGAGAATTAAGAGACCTTGGCGTGTGCTTATAAGGATTGGATTGGATAACTCAATAGATTCGAGGTATGTTGAAGTTAGAAAATAGATTACTCATGAAAGAAATTAACCCACCCGTGCAATCCCTACCCATAAAATGGTACGATATTAACGTTGTATTTAACTTATACGTTCAAATCCCACGACATGAAAACTCTTGCTGCTCTCCCACTTCTTACTATAAGTCTACAATACATCAGTCTTATAAGCTATCCAATCCAATGCAATCTTAGGCTCCAAACGAGCTGTAATTTCACAGATCAATTTTTCCTCCCAGCGTGCTTTATTCTCATATCAGTAGCAAAAATCAGTAAGATCAAATTGACTTTAATTAGGACTCCCCCAACTTTCCAAGCTTAATTAGCTAAGCCCTCTAAATAAATTTTCATAAAACCAGTTTGATTAAGAAATACCAAACAAGAAAAGAAAAGTTCAACAAATCTTTTAGGTCTCAGATTACTCACCTGCATATCAAAAATCCCTCCGGAACTCGAAATTCCAAAAACAACTCTAACCAGTTTGGCAGCATTTCTTCTAAACACAGAGCAGCTAGCATCTCTAAGCACCCTTGTTGAGAACTCGAAGCTCGCAAGCTTCCTCTGCTGCTTCTATTTTTCTCCATCAACAACAAATATCCCTTGGCCAAAAATATCCGATAGAATACTTTGAGTGAAGGCGCCTTTCGAGTAGCTGGCAAAGTTGGTTTTCAGAACATGCCCAATGTTGCGCGTGTCAGCCGTGTACACTTCACTGTGGTCCGGGACTAAAAGCCGGAAAGTTGAGTGTGTTTTGGCAACTTCGGTTTGGTAGTCGTAGACTCTGTTGAAGTATAAGAACATGTGGAAGACAGTGCCTTTTACGGGAGGGTAGTTCAGGTCTCGGATAGACTTTCCGGTGAAGATTTTGAGTATGAACGAAGACAGAATTAGGAAGAGAAACATAAATATGGAGGTGAAGATGATAAGGAAATACCCCATCTCAAATTTGCTTGTCATAACAAAGAGGCAAAGAAAGAAATATGTAGAGAGAGAGAGAGAGAGAGAGAGAGAGTACGCAAGTGAAATGAAGAGGAGAGAGTATGCAAGTTGGCATAAATAATATAAATTTACTTTTTTTTTTTTTCTAATTTTTTTTTTTTTTTTGAAAGAAAGAGCATGGCTTCGTGAAAGTGAAATGAAGAGAAGAGAAGAGAAAGTACGCAAGTTGACATATATAAATTTATCGAGTCCAATGGTTGGGCTAAAAGCCTAATTTTTTAAACCGAAAAATTTAGTTTTTAGCTCAGAAACAGATTTTCAGCTCCAATCACTTTGGACTAAAATTTTAGCCCGGAATTATTAAAGAATGAACTTAGGCTATTTTTTTTCTTAAATTAATTTTTTTTAAATAAATATGTAAACTATCGTAAATTAATTTTATGAACATTTTAATCTAAAAATATTTAAATTCCGATAAATATTGAAAAATCATTAAATTTTTCACAAAGCAAGCCTTCAACTTTCCACCAATCTTTCAACTTTGGGCTAACTTTCAATTCATCAACCGTTCAACACCAAACTTTTAACTTTCATCAACCGTTCAACACCAAACTTTCAACTTTCACCCACCGTTCAACTTTCATCAATCATCCTCTATATAAACATATGTCCAATATTAGTTGATCACATAACCTTTCAACCTTCAATCATCCTCTATATTCACCAATCTTTCAACTTTCAAGGAGTTTTTGTTTCCTAAAAATCCTCAATATCTCATCAATGGGTGATAGAAGAAGGCGTAGCATGGCAATGCAGATGACACAAAACCAAGAAAAGATTGAGATTAAGGATGAAGAATTGTTCAACAGTGAAGCTGAACTTGTAAACTCGTTTAAGCAATCTGAGCACCATGGCGAATCTAGCCATCTATGTCACGGTGCGTTCATATGTGCAGCGTGATAGAGAAGAGTGTCATGACCGAATGATGAAAAATTATTTCATCGAGCGTCCGAGATTTCCTACTCATGATTTTCGGAGGCAGTTTCGGATGAGGAGAGAGCTTTTTGAAAGCATCTTGAATGCAGTTGTCAATCATGACCACTACTTTGCAAGGAGGCTAGATGCCGCAGGCCAACAAGGTCTATCACCTCATCAGAAGCTCATATATGTTTTTCGCAAGCTAGCTAATAGGTGCTCTGCAGACTCAACTGACGAGTATTGCCGACTTGCAGAAAGTATTGCTATTGAGAACCTGAAACGCTTCTGTAAGGCAATTGAAGGCATATATGGAGCCACATACCTCCACAAACCAAATCGTAAAGATTTGAAGAGGCTTCTACGCAAGGTAGACAAAAGAGGCTTCCCTGGAATGATAGGAAGTCTCAATTGTATGCATTGGGAGTGGAAGAATTATCCTACTGGTTGGGCTGGCCAATTCAAGGGCTATCATAACAAGCCAATCATCGTGCTCAAGGCTGTGGTATCTTACGACACATGGATTTGGCATGCTTTCTTCGACGCTTATGGATCAAACAACGATATCAACGTTCTTTGGTCTTCTCCTCTGTTTGATAATGTTGTCAATGGATGGGCACCAGAATTTCGGTACAAGGTAAATTGTAATAGGTATGAGTTAGGTTACTACCTAACTGATGGTATCTTTCTCAAAAGTTTTTCTCATCCCGATAGTGCAAAGAATAAATTATTTTCGTAGAGACAAGAGTCTTACAAGAAGGATGTCGAGAAAGCGTTCGGGATCCTACAAGCTCAATGGGCCATTGTTAGAAGGGCTGTATGATTTTGGCAGACCAAAGACCTCCATTCAATCATGATGACGTGCATAATTTTGCACAACATGATTGTGGAAGATGAGTACATCGAAATTGAAGAAGATTCAGACGAAGATATGGGTGATGACCAACCAACACATGCGAGAGCTATTGCAAGAGATGTCGAATATCTCGCTCCAACCACATATGAGACTCAACAGGATAGGGTCACCTTGATTGAGTATATGCAACGTTTAAATAGAATTCAAGCTCCTCAATGTCATGACACACTCTGCAAGGATTTGGTTGAGCATGTATGGGGCCAAGAAGGTGAACGTTGATGACGTTGGTTAAGAATTTATGTAATAATTTTAAGTGTACTGAGTTGTTATTTTCTAGTAATAAATTTAAGTGTCTTCTTGTGCAAAGTATTTTGTCTAGTACGTTGGATAAATTATTGAATGGAGGTTGAATTTTGTGTGAATGTTAGAACAAATACATAGGTATTTATAGAGTTTTTGGGTGAATTTTGAGTTAAATAATTTTTTTTTAATTATTTTAGCAGTTGGATTTAAATTTGGGCCATTAAATATTTTTTTTTACCAATAGATTTGATTATATTTGATCTCAGCCGTTGGATTCAATAATATAAATATAAATAAAATAAAATTTTGAATCTAGGCCATTGGATTAACCAACGGCCTGATGATCACAACCGTTCGATCGAAAAAGCCGTTGGAGCTCTGGGGAACATGGCCGACAGGCCCATGTGGGTGGGTCCCGGCCGGTCGGAAGGAGCGTGCGTTAGGCGCATTTAGCGAGTCCATGGGCTGGGTTTGGAGCCCAAACGCTGAAAACCACTCTCTTTGGTGGGGTCCACTCCGATTTTGGGCAGTTTCTGGCCTTACTTCCCTTTTTAGCATCTAGCCCACATTTTCCCCTTGGGTTAAAGTGAGTGTGGTGGGAAATTTTAGGGGGGAATTTATCATTTAGCCCACCATTGGAGGTGGTCTTACAAGAAACAAAAAGGCATGCATGCTGACATATATAATATAAATTTACTTTTTATTTTTTTTCTAGGTTTTGTATTCTTACCAGAAACAAAAAAGCATATTTGTCGATTTATGTTTAAAATTTGTATGGAGCTATCAATTTTTTTCCTGAACTTCAATTTTAACCAATTACCCCCTTGAACTTTTATAATTAGCCAATTTCTCCTTTGAACTTTAATTTGAGCCAATTGCCCCACTGAACTTTTATAAATAGCCAATTTCCTCCTCGGCGCTGGATTTTAAAAATTTTCATCCAATTTTCCATTCATCTTGATCACAGAAACAACATATGACAACTGTATGAGGGCAAAAAAGATGGAAAATTGGATGGATGAAAAATTGAATGAAATTTTTTTAAAATCTAATGTCAAGGGGAATTGACTATTTACAAATGTTCAGGGGTAATCAACTAAAATTAAAGTTCAAGGGAAAATTTGACCAATTATAAAAGTTCAAAGGATGATCGGCTAAAATTAAAGTTTAGGCGAAAATTGGCAGCTCCATACAAGTTCGAAGGACAAATCAACAAATATGTCCAAAAAAATTGCGTGGAATGAACTAATTGCAGGCATTCTGCACTTGATGGAGAAAGCCTTGTTGAGAGAGTGAAAGAAAGATGGAATCTTTTAGGGCTAGTTCGGTATGGTATACCGAACTGAAACTAATATCTCAAATCCCAAACCAAATTTTTGGGAATCCTGAAATATTTTCGGGATTTTGGGACAAATCGGGATTAAATTTCATAAACCCTAACCTAATGGTAAACATAAATATAGAAATTAAATTAGGGCTAAAATCATGAACATCCAATCCAAAACATGAACAAATTTCACAAACCTTAATCTAAAATTTGAACCCTAAATTAAATTTCAAACCCTAAATTAATTTCAAATTTTACCTAATTTGGGGGAAAATCGGTTCACAATGCACTGGATGAAGAAGACTTTCAGACTTTGAGTGTCTGATAGAGAGAATCGCGAGAGAAAGAGAGAAAGAGAGAGTGATGGCTCTGTGTGGTGAAGGAATGCTCCACGGTCGAAGGCGGTAATAATACTATGGTGTGGTGGTGGGCCAATGACTGGCTGGAGTTGAGCTTCAAATTTGAGACAAAAAGGAGGGGGCTCGATGGCTGAAGGAGGGAGGTTAGCTTCAATTGAAATGAAAGTTATGAACAAACAATGGAGAGAGAATGTTGAAGAACCTTAACAATGAATGGACAACACAAATCAATTTGAAACAATCCAATGGTTGAAATTAACTCTAACTATAATTAAAAAATAATAATATATATAATAATTAATAATATATATTTTCAGTTCGGTATGGGATTCTCGAAATATTGAGAAGATAATCCCGAATCCTGTACCAAAATTTCAGATCGATTTGGAATAGCATCCTGAAAATTTTAGGAATTTTGGTTTAGGACACTTTGGTTTAGGATCAAAAATTTTTCGGTCCGATTCAGCATTTTCGGGAATTTTTACCCCTAGAATCTTTGGTAAATGTTTGTGCTTTTGTTTTGTTGGTGCCACTTTCAGTTAAAAGTCTTCAATGAGTGTTGATTTGCTACTTCTCTGTTCCAACCGAGTGTTAAGACCATCATGCATTTACGGTAAAAAAGTTAAGACATTTTGCATAAGCATATAAAAATTAGTGTCAATTGGATTCACGGTGAAATCTTACTTTATTCTTCATGGTATTAGATCATGTAAATTCTCGAGTCCAAGTCACATAATATATTTTGTTCCTGTGTTTATTCGCCTCACCGAGTTGGGGTTGAGGTACATCTTTATCAATTTATCAATCGGATTTAAACGGCCATGATCTTCTGATTAATGGAATCCATTAAGAGGAGGAGTGTATCCAATTAGCTCAAATGTTTCTTGTTTATGAACCTTACCTTTGCGGCTTTCCCTTGGACACATGGTTTAATAGTTTTTTTTTTTTCCTGAGTACATCGATAGTTTTACACTAAAGGGAGAGAGAGTTTGGCTAAGTCACACAATGGGCAGCTTAATTTGGTATCAAATTCCCCATTCACGAGATTCGAACTTAAGACCTCTCACTTCCAAGTAAAGAGGAATACCATCAGACCGTAATACTGAATGATTATGGTTTAGTGTTAGATAAGCAATCACACTAGGGAGGCTTCGATTATTATTTAAGTGTTGATTAACATGTTTTTTTTTTTATTAGTGAGACTCATCACATGATTTACAAATTTGGTCTAAGAAGTTGGTCTACCTATCATTATATTATAATCGACCAATCTATGTCTCCATTCTATTGAATAATGTGAAAAAGACCAACATCAACCATATTACGGAATAATTACAACTTAACTTAAGTGGCATTTAATTTCATCGAGTCCTCATGTGTAAAACTACAACTTAGCTTAAGTGGGTGTGTTTATACCGTGGGGAAAGAGACTTTTTTAGGATAGAATCCTTGTTCTAAGTTGGGAGAATCCTAAAGGATATCTAGTAAGTAGATATTGTATCCTCTTAAGAGTTATGATTACTTGCAGCACATGCCTATCCCTAGATTGTGGGGACTCCAAGACTTATAGGACATGATTGTGTCCACATTTGAATCATATCAGATAGAAGTAGTCGTACTCAGGGTCGAAGTTCAGAGCCACCCTAAGATGAGTTCTGGATTGCCCTTTTGACTATTCCCTTAAATGGCGTAGAGCCCTGGTTTGAATGTCATAACCTCAACCTTGTTGGTTGTGTAAACTTTCCGGAGGCTGGATGGTGCAGTGGATTTCCAGGTCAAGGCGCCATGTGCTCGGCCCGTGTCTGCCAATCGTTATTGTGCTTGTTACGATTCAAGTCTCCTAAGCTATTAACCGCCCAGACAGATTGGGCTAAAGAGGCCCATATGACAGTGTAACTTTGAACTTTTTTAGACTTGTATTCATGTGAAGTTTTCAAAGTTTGGACCTTGTTTTTGAATGAGTAGGGTATTCCCTGCTTTATCGGAAAAAAAAAATAAAGAAAGAATACGTATTTAAGACAAATAGATGATCTTTATCCATGATCAAAGTAAAATTAGTTGACAAGGGGTTAAGACTAAATTCGAAAAAGATTGCCTACATATCTCTGGGATGGAGAATTAAATCGCTGGTGTAGTTCTAAGGAAAAGATGATATGATGCAAAAAATTACATCAAGGAACACTTTTGACGATAAGCATATGGTGGGGCATTAAGAGGTGTGTTCTCCTTGAACTCATCTTCGTGCAGACTGCAGCGTAGTGATTGGGTCTGGAGAGAACTGCTTACATATCCCAGGAAGGGAATTAAACTGCGTGTAGTTTATGTTGTGCTTTGCTTCGTTTTAAGCCACTAGTAAAGGCCTACAAGGTTTTAGTTTTTCCAGCAAGAGGTCTTTCTCTCAACATAGGCTATTCAATTTCTCTGCTGTTGGTTTTTTCACTGCTTGGCGCTACTCTCGAGTAATGAGGTGGAATTCTGTCTTTAAATGGAACATTTCCTATGGCATGCAACCATTCCCAACTGAGGATAATGTTATAAGAAGATGGGCTATGCATCATATGGAAAGTCATCAAATGTTCAGATGGTTTTCTTCAAACCATGAGACGGATCGTTTGCATGGTGCTGAGTGAGGTTCCATCAAGAGTTTGGATAATAAAGCTCATTGAATAAACTCTATCTAGGATATCCATCCTTGTGGCTGCTCCCCTAAAGAGGATATTGACTTCCGACCCATTACCAATCAGGACTCTGTCGACCATGGTGTCTGAGATTTACAGTCTTACGATGAGGGTGACATTAGAGGGTGGATAAACAGTTTTTGGCCTGATTGAGGGATTTTTTAGCTGAGGTTTTCCCGGGATCATCTTTCTCCCCTTCTGTGCTTTGTTGAAGTAATCATGTCTTCTTATTATGCGAATAATGCTCAGAAAAAACTTTTTGTCTGTGTCGGGGAGGTGGCGGTCTCGAAATTTCTTGTAGTTATGCCAGATACGTTGCTGGGAAGAGTTCTTAGATCAATTGTTCCGAGCGTGGATTTGTCGTTCTTAGGGAAACACGAGATGCAAAACTTGCACATTGGGCAAGGGTGTCTTCTACAGTTTTCATTCTTTCAGTTAGCCTGGCGAGCCTTGCCCTTTCTTTGATATGTAAGTTCTTCTTGAGGTCTTTTACTGACGTGCGTATCTTAAGTATGTTGTCCCACACCTGATTGGTGAAAGAGGCTTCTTCTCCATTTGGGTTCATGGCTTGACCACACAGCGATCTTCTAAGCATTGCTTCCATAGGTTAGAGTGATATGGTTAAGAGGAATACGGGTTCTCTCTCAATGAAAGCACCAATTGTTGGAACCAAATTTGCGCACCTATGTGAGCGGTGGTTAAGCACAAACTTGAGCAACCTGCAAAACAGTAAACAACCATGAGCAAGCCTAGGATCAGGGGAGGGGTGTGCCGGCCAAAAGTTCTCCAACAATCAGGTTAGCAAATGATTTTAGACTTAAGCAGTTGGCAAAAGAATTGAAGTTTATAGATTGCGTTATAGTAGATGAAACCTAGGTAGGTGTGTTTACATCGTGGGGAGAAAGACTTTTTTAGGATAGAATCTCGTTCTATGCCGGAAGAATCTTAAAGGATATCTAGTAATTAAGTAGATATTGCATCATCTTAGAAGTTGTGATTACTTGCGGCGAACACCTATCCCTAGATTGTAGGGACTCCAAGACTTATAGGATTTGATTGTGTCCACATCCGGATTAGATTGCGTGTCTTATGGAACAATCATGGTCATCCAGTGGAGTCGCTAGGACTCCACCTAGTGCTCCAAAGTAGAGTGATGGTGACACCCTACCCCCCATTTGAAACAACTCTGCCCGGAGCTAGTAAGTTTATGACCAAACTTCTAAAGTAACAACATTCCGATCATATTTACTCCAACCCTAAAAAATCATGGTCCCCCACGTACCTATTTCTCAAATGAGCAAGTTCCTTCTCACAAATGAATCAATGTCAAATCTGTATTTGATTGAAAGTAGAAATCGTATTTACGTGCAAGGAACCAAACAATTACAAGAATCAAGGTTTTGCCAAGTTTAGATCAAAGTGTACATACTTTATATATCAGTTGAGTAATCAAACATTATTAATTATGTCAGCATCAGGTTATCAGTTTTTCTTTTAAGCTTAGTTTCTGATTTTTGTTATTTCCTCTTTTTGTTATCAATGTTGAAGTATCTCTGTAAGTTTCTTAGCCTGGAAGAATTGGTAGGTTGCATCTAAATTCCTATGTATTAGTAAAATATTATGACTTTAAGTTTTCTATATAAACATAAAATTTAATTATTTATATCTTAGGTATACAAAATTACATGATGAATTAAGAGAGTATTGACGAAAAAAATTAAAATTGCAAAGTGGCATTCCACCTAAGATTTTAACATCTTATTTGGAGATGGTCTTATGCGTGTAGCTGTCTCAACATTATGTATATACCTTGCGATAAAATAGGGACCCTGAACTATTATTTTGATCATAGTAAACATGAAAAACCTGAAAGTCATTATCATATACATCTGTATACATTGGTATACATACATGCATATATATATTATATAAAGTTCACACTTGGTTGATGAACCTTGAACATTATTTTTCAATGCATAGAAGAATTTACTCAGGTTGTTCTGGGAACTGCAATCATAGGGAGACTGCCATCTATATGAAGGGTGAACATGGTCCTATATGTTACCGGCTTTGTTTCATCGGCCAATTTGAAGCGAAAGAAGCTAAGGAGAGCCATCGCTACTATCTTCATCTGCCGGTAAGCAAAGTCCTTCCCTAGACATATCCGCGGACCTGCCTGCAATAGCACAAGTGAAAGTGATACTATTATTAGTGAATATTTGGATAATTAGAAAATATATATTTGTGATAAAGGAAAAAGAAAATATTTTTACTAACGTGAAATGCGACGAATTTGAAGGGTGATTCGGGCTGGAAAATTCCATTTTTAAGCCATCTTTCGGGTCGAAAATCATCGGCATCTTTTCCCCAGATATAAGGCATTCTTCCCATGGCATAGGTGATGTAGTTTACGTTGTCTCCTTTTCTCACTCTAAAGCCATCTGGAAGAATGTCATCTACATCTGCACATCTCCCATCCTTGGAGAAAACCAAGACATAAGGATGTCAATATTTACAGTAATATGAAGAGTTCTTCGGACTTAAAAGTTGGAAGTCCACTGCCTATTTTTCCCTTAGTAATAGAAAAATGGTTATAAATTTCCTAAAGATACTTGGCTCCCTATGTGTAAGGACTCGTTCATCCATGCAGATCAATTATAGTTAGACACGTGCCATAACCTTTTCTTGTTGCATTTTTAAAATTTATTTATGCACATTTGCCAGTCTGGACTGTAATTTGCAAGAGTAAGCAGGAATAACTCCTTAGTCATTAGGCGACAAACAGTGTTCTAAGTTTCCTTGTGGAGCAGTGGCTTCCTTGTATTGATTTCGATATGTTTTAACAATTTTAATCAAGGTTCTGGCACTGTCCTGGTTAAATTCTTACAAACTACTATAGAAAGTAAAGAAAATAACAAGTATCTTATTCAAAAAATATTATGACGAAAATTAAAACCGGGTTATTCGAGTATACTTACGATTGGAACCGCAGGGTATAGCCTTAAGGTCTCTGTCAGCGCGGCGTGAAGATAATGCATTCGTTCTAGAGTTTCTTCAGTAATGTTTTCCACGAATTCATCAACTTTCGCTTCGCCTACCTGATTACCAGCGACATCCCTCACTTCTTGTACAACTTTTTCTTGTATTAGAGGGTTCTTGCTGAGCATGTAGAAGAACCATGACAGTGTATTTGCGCTGGTGTCTTTGCCAGCAAACATAAAATTCAGTATTATATCCCTCAGATATTTGTCATTCATTTCCTCTGGATTCTTCGCACTCTCCAGTAGAAACCTTGACAGTATGTCCTCCTTGTCAATCTTTGAAACATAAAAAATAAAAAATAAAAAAATAAAAAAAAATTCAGAACTTCATAGGAAACTAAAATCTTAAATTTACCATTAATGCAGGGAAATGATGTCTGCACACCCTGTTTCTCCTTCTGCACACCCTTGTTTATTTTTTCCCCTTAATTCTCTTTTGATTCCTACAATCCAAAATAACCAAGGGTACGTATGGGAGAAGAAAAAGGATGTGCGCAAAACACCTCCCTTACTGTATGTTTCCCTCACCCGGCAAACTGAAATCGTGTAAAGAACACATAGAATTACATGGTAGAGACACATTCTGTAAAGCCAATGTGGTAATGTTAAATATACTTACAACATCTTTCTGCTCCTCTTGCAATCTCCTCTTGCTGCTGATAACTTGGTTCACGAAATCATCCATAACTTTGACATACTTTTTAAGGGAGGCCTCGTGACCAAGGTTAAAGATTCTCTTCAGTTTCCAGAACGGATCAATGTAGCGAAAATAAGTCAGCGCAGTAGATTCATCAAAGGCCTTCATGAATGCAGTCCCTTCTTGGCTTGACCGCTCCAAGCAATGCAGTTCTATTCCAAACCCAACTTTGAATATGGAATCCAAGGTACATCTCATAAGCAAATCCTAAAAATAGAATCAAATGCAAAATATTACGTTTGATCCGAAGAGTTTGTTGAGTGTGAATCCCGCTTTTGAGAATTAAGAGACCTTAGCATGTGCTTATACGTATTGGATTGGATAACTCAATAGGTTTGAGGTATGTTGAAGGTAGAAAATAGATTACTCATGAAGAAACTAACCTTTCAATCCCCATCCACAAAATGGTACGATATCAACATCGTATAACTTATACGTTCCATCCCCACAACATGGAAACTCTTTCACCTCTATCTCATCATTTCTTACTACAATATATCAATCTTATAAGTATACAATCCAATACAATCTTGGACACCAAACGAGCTATAATTTTACAAATCATATTTTTCCTCCCAACATGTTTTATTTTCTCATATTAGCCTCTTGCCACACGCGTATGTGTGTGACAATTGGCACTTATGATTTTTTATTTAAAAAAACAAAAAATAGAAAAACAAATAATAATATGAATGTTTCACCTTTTATTTTTTTTTTGTGAATTTCTTATTTTATTTGAAAATTTAATGGAAGAGGGCAATTTTGGGATTATGAATGTTTCACCATTTTTGTCGTCTCCCTTTATATATATACAAGCCTCTTGCCACACGTATATGCATGTGCCAATTGACCTTTTTATATTTTTTTTATTTAAATAATTAATTTACGTATTTTTAAAAAATTATTTAAAAAAAAGAAATGAATTAAAAATGTGAAACCACCCACTAACGTGGGAGGTTTTGTTTTTGTTTTTGTTTTTTTTTTCTATAATTTTAAATATTAAATTCTTTCAAAATAAAAATATGGTTAAATAATTTAGCTTTTTTGGTTCAATTGTAATTTATGAAATTCTTAAAGGGTAATTTATGGTATTTTTAATGTTTCACCATTTTAGGGTGCTCACTTTATATATATAGAAATAAAAATATGGTTAAATACTTTAGCTTCTTTTGGTTCAATTGTAATTTATGAAATTCTTAAAGAGTAATATATGATATTTTGAATGTTTCACCATTTGAGGGTACTCACTTTATATATATATATATATATATATATTGGTACCAAAAATCAGTCAGATCAAATTGACTTTAATTAGGACTCCCCCAACTTTCCAAGCTTAATTAGCTAAGCCCTCTAAATAAATTTTCATAAATCCAGTTGGATTAAGAAATACCAAACAAGAAAAGAAAAGTTAAAAAAATCTTTTAGTTCTCTGATTACTCACCTGCATATCAAAAACCCCTCCGGTACTCGAAATTCCAAAAACAACTCTAACCAGTTTGGCAGCATTTCTTCTAAACACAGAGCAGCTAACATCTCTAAGCACCCTTGTTGAGAACTCAAAGCTCGCAAGCTTCCTCTGCTGCTTCCACTTTTCTCCATCAACAAGAAATATCCCTTGGCCAAAAATATCCGACAGAATACTTTGAGTGAAGGCGCCTTTCGAGTAGCTGGCAAAGTTGGTTTTCAGAACATGCTCAATGTTGCGCGTGTCAGCCGTGTACACTTCGCTGTGGTCCGGGACTAGAACCCGGAAAGTTGAGTGTGTTTTGGCTACTTCGGTTTGGTAGTCGTAGAGTCTGTTGAAGTATAAGAACATGTGGAAGACAGTGCCTTTCACGGGAGGGTAGTTCGGGTCTCGGATAGACTTTCCGGTGAAGATTTTCAGTATGAACAAAGACAGAGTTAGGAAGAGAAACATAAGTATGGAGGTGAAGATGATAAGGAAAAACCCCATCTCAAATTTGTTTGTGATAACAAAGAGGCAAAGAAAGTTTATATGGAGAGAGAGAGAGAGAGAGAGAGACTTTTGCTTTCTTAGATAAGGTTGGAAGCATGAAAGCGAAATGAAGAGAAGAGAAAGTATGCACGTTAACGCAGTATAAATTTTTTTTTTTTTTTTATCTTTCTTGGTTTTGTATTGTTTTACCAAAAGGAACAAAAATTGAGTGTATGAACTAGTTGCAGGCCTCCTGCACTTGACGGAGAAAAAAAAAACAAAAGATTCCATCATTCTTTCGCTTTCTCAGTTCATACCGCTCAATTTTTTTTTATAACTTATATGGCGTGATTGTTTATAATCCGATTATTACTGAAGTGTTCATTAACGTACTTTTTTATATTAATGAGACACATCACATAATTCTCAAATTTGGTCTAAGAAGTTGGTATTCTTATCATTACTTATATATATATATATATATATATATATATATATTATATTTAGAATCGAAAAATCTACATCTTTGTTGAAATGTGAAAAGTCTAACATCTTACAGAATAATTACAACTTAGCTTAAGTGGCATTTTAATTGCTTCGAGTCCTTATGTGTAAAAACTATAAGGGCTTTTACAGGCAACGTGACTAAATTGAAGGCAATATTAACGTATCTCCATTATAGATGTGAGATATAAAAATTGAAAGTTCATGTAGTCATAGACTCATACTTTTAACTTGTATCAAGCAACACAACTCTAACATTGATCGCAATCGAAATGTCCTTACCTTTTTCTCAAATGGGCAAGTTCCTTCTCACAAGTAAACCCCCGTCAAATTTGTATTTGATTGAAAGTAGAAATCGTATTTTACGTGCAAGGAACCAACAATTACAAGAATCAAAGTTTTGCCAAGTTTAGATCAAAGTGTACATACTTTATATATCATTTGAGTAATCAAACACTATTAATTATATATCTGCATCAGGTTGTCAATTTTTATTTTAAGCTCACTTTCTGATTTTTGTTAAGTGTTGAAGCATTTCTTTAAGTTCTTAGCCTGCAAGAAATGGTAGGTAGTCTCTAAATTCCTGTGTATGTGTAAAAATATTATGACTATAAGTTTTCTATATAAATATAAAAATTAATTATTTATATCTTAGTTATACAAAATTACATGTTGAATTGAGAGAGTTTTGACAAAAAAAATTGAAAAAAGTAGATCTTCGCAATACGGTGCGTATATTATACTGCAGGTTACAATATTACTGTAAAAACTTACCAATACAAGTAGAACCACACTACATATATAAATCTAAAGCGCATTTCAGTAGTCATGCAGAATTTTACAGATACATAGTTTAGCAAAGTACTGAACATTATTCTATTTGATATGCAAGAAAGATATCAGGCTGTCCTCGGAGTTGCGCGAAGAGAGAGACCTCCATCCATGTGTAGGGTGAACATGGTCCTATAGGTTACATTTTTTGTTTGGTCAGCCAATTTGAAGCGGAAGAAGAAAAGAAGAGCGGTCGATACTATCTTCATCTGCCGGTATGCAAAGTCTTTCCCTAGACAGATTCGAGGTCCTGCCTGCAATTAGCATGGTTAATTGAAATCATTGCTGAGAGTTTAGATAGACTAAGCAATTAGCATTTTTTTCTTTCACATGATACTAACATGAAATGCGACAAATTTGAATGGTGATTCAGGCTGGAAAATTCCATTTTTGAGCCATCTTTCAGGTCGGAAATCCTCAGCATCTTCTCCCCAAATATAAGGCATTCTTCCCATGGCATAGGCCATGTAGTATACTCCATCTCCTTTTCTCAATCTAAAGCCATCAGGAAGAATGTCATCTACCTCTGCACATCTCCCGTCCTTCGAGGAAGCCAAACACAAAGACATCAAACTACATATCAAACTTCCATCCCAGAAAAAATGCTTAAACTTCACTAACTCATTGGAAAATGATTAATACCAAGTTATTTGAAAATACATACCACAGGAACTGCAGGGTATAGCCTCAAGGTCTCTGTTATCGTCGCATGAAGATAATGCATTTTATCAAGATTTGCATCAGTTATGTTTTCTACAAGTTCATCAATGTTAGCTTCGTCGACCTGAATAGTAAAACCGACAACATCCCTCACTTCTTGTGCAACTTTTTCTTGTATTAGAGGGTTCTTCGTAAGCATGTACAAGAACCATGAGAGTGTATTTGCACTTGTATCTTTGCCAGCAATCATAAAGTTCAGAATTATATCCCTCAGATATGTGTCATTCATTTTCTCGGGATCCTTCTCGCTCTCCAACAGAAACCTCGATAGTATGTCCTCCCTGTCATTCTTCATAAATAAATATAATTCAAGATTTCCATTAACAAATTTGAATCTTTAATAAGAAAGATTGCAGTGCAAAGAAAACGAAAAATGTCGAGTTACTTACAGCATCAGTTTTCCCTGTAACCAACGTCCTCTTACTCTTGATAAGTTGGTGTACAAAATCATCCATGATTCGGACATTCTTTTTAAGAGCTGCTTCAGAACCAATGTTTAGAACACGCTTCAATTTCCAGAATGGATCGACATAGCGCCAATACGACAGGGCGGTCGAATCATCAAAGGCCTTCATAAATGCAGTCCCTTCCTTGCTTGAACCCTCCAAGCAATTCAGGTCTATTCCAAACCCTACTTTGATTATGGAGTCTAAAGTGCATCTCATAAGAATATCCTGCAAAATGAATCATATACAAGAAAACAAAATCATATTAAGCTTAATTCTGACCAGACTGATTATTTAAGCGATATTCTAATGTAATCTAAACCATAGGGAGAAGGATTGGAACTTGGTCCACCCTATCATTAAGTCGCTACTAAAATGATTTATTGGTTTCAGATTACTCACTTGCATATCAAAACTTTGATTGGAACCCAAAATCTCAGAAACAACTCTAACCAGTTTGGCAGAATTTCTTCTAAACACAGAACAGCTAAAATCTCTAAGAACTCTGGTCGAAAACTCAAAGCTTGCAAGCTTCCTCTGCTGCTTCCACTTTTCTCCATCAACAACAAATATCCCTTGGCCAAAAACATCAGACACAATATCTTGGTTGTATTTCCCTTTGGAATACTTGGCGAAGTTGGTTTTCAAAACATGCTCGATGTTTCGCATGTCAGTGGTGTATACTTCACTTTGGTCTGGGGCAAGCAGCCGAAAAGTTGGCTGCTCTTTGGCAACTTCGGTCTGGTAGTCATAGAGCCTGTTGAAGTAGAAGAGCTGGTTGAAGACGGTGCCTTTTACTGGCGGGTAAATTTGGTTTCTAATGGATTTTCCTGTGAAGATTTTAAGTAGCAGAAAACAGAAGGTGAGGATGACAAATAGTACTGAAAATGACATGAAGGTGAATATGAAGTAGAGAATACTCATCTTTCCTGGCTAGTTAAGGAGGCAAAGACCGTCTATATATAGGAAAATCCAAAAGTGTTAACCGTATAAGATGTCTATCAAGTGGATTATTGTTTAAATTTCACCTAAACTTAACAGTCTGACAACATGACATATTGAGTTGTTCGACAAAGGAGAAACATTATCTATATGTGTAACGGGAGGAAACGTTGCTATCTTATGTTACATCTATGAAAGTGAAATCAAGAGAAAAAAAATGCAAGCAGAACATCAACGTTGGTTTATTATCTTATTCAATGGTCTTATTGTCAAAATAAGACAATAAGAAAAGGATAACTACCCATGAGAGTTGAAATAGCAGTCCTGAGTTCCCTATGGCTGATCATGGCCGTCGATCTGCTAGCGAGCGGTCATCTGGATCTTGATTGTAAGAAGATCGGATTGAATCAAAGGTTTTGATCTTTTAGCTATAGCAGGTGATTCCTTGGAGAACTAGGACAGTGTAGCTAACCAGCTCCAAGGCTTTCTTGCTGATGAAGATTGGTGATTCACTACTTTCCAGCTAAGAATTGGACTCTTTCTTCTAATTTCCCCAAATAATAGTAGAGTCAGTCTTGTTAAGAATTGGACCCTTTCTTCTAGTCCCATACATTCCACTTCACGTCAAGGGCACGTTCGGATTCATCGATATGCGAGTAGGCTTAAAAATATCACAAGCCCAAAATTGAGGGCCAGTCTTAACCCACTTCAATACTATATTGACATCTCGGAGAGTCGGCATAGCGGCCTACTATCCTCGACTTAACATCGTGGAATTTGGGTGACAAATTGCTACACAACATAAATTTGGGTTATATAAATGTAAAACAATTTAGTTTATGATTCGAGAAGAGCATGTTCTCTTTATGATTAGCTATCATTTCTATTTACCAAAAGAGGAACAAAAGAGGATTATATAATCATGGGTATTGATTAGAATGAGAGTTGTGATTTAGTATTAGGGTCAAATACCAACATGAGCAAGGGGTTTCTAATTATTATTGTAACTTCCTTATTAGTTGGGATTTTCTTCTTGTTAGAAATTTCTTTGTAACCCTAGTCAAATATGTAGTTTGTGTGTATATATATATTGCCTCATTGAGAGAAGAATACACACAACAATTCAAATCCTAGTATTCTACTACAATTTTATCTTGGCATCAAAGCAGGTTTTATCCTGTCTCAATCCCCAAAAACCCTATCGCCAAGAATTGCTAGTTTGCTTGCATCAGTTCTTGCACGATTTCAAGTTTTTTAGATCGACACGAAACCAAAACCCTTGTTGTGACACTATGCAAGCCGACCCTAATCCTTACTTGATGTGCAATTTGATCCCGGTTGCCGGCCCCAATTTTTTGTTAGTTGTCTTGTATTTTAGATAATTAATGGCTCGTTTAGATGTGCTTTTAAAATGATAGAAAATGCTTTTAGAGAAAATATTTATGTGCAGGAAACACTTTTAAGTGTTTTTCCAGGATTTACTTGCATCTTTACTAATGTTTGGTTCTAAAAACATTTTCTCCAAAAACGCTTTCAGTCATTTCAAAATCACATTCAAGCGAGCTCTTAATCATTACCCAAATCCTAAACATAAATGTACTATATCAATCAGATGCGACTATGGGAAAAGAATACAAACCCGGGGCTAAGATTCAAGTCTCTACTTCAAGCGATTTACCCAATGTAAATACCCCGCCGTTTGGGTTTAATTAATGGTACCAATTTTTCAATTTGGTCTCAGATGATGGATATCCAAGCAGCGGGGTTGGGAAAGCTTGACTATTTGATTGAAGAACTGCCTCAACCGGATAAAACCGATCCCAGATTCTCAAGGTAGAGTACTGAAGATGCAATTGTGAAGGGTTGGTTACATGACTGAGTCCTCGAACCACTGCAACAACTGATCATACCACACTTTGATGATCTTGCAATCATCGGCAAAAAACCTACTATGAATCGCCTCCAATTAACGTTGAGCTTCCACCGTATAATCCTTACCTAGCACACAAACCACAAAGTCACCACCTCATATTTAAACAACAATTGTCGTTTTAAGATCCGGGATTGAGCAGTAAGTCTGTTACAAAAGCTCTCATCCTCATAAAGAGAGAGTGACCACAATGACAACTACAAAGGCTCTCCTCAACAAAGTGAGAGAGCGGTTACAACCAAAAACAAGAAAGAAAGAACGAAAGGATAAAGAAGGATTGTTGCCGACCCCAAGGCCAAAGGCTGGGGTCTGCGGCGACATGTTTCTCTTTGGTTTTTATTTTTCCTCTTATGGCTAGGGTTAATGAAAGAGCACGAGAGTGTCTTTAAGGCCTAGTTTGGCATGAAGTATTAGACACCGGATAGTACTAATTAATACTAGCTATTCGGTGTTTGGTGTCGTTCCGTATTTAATTAGCACTAGATTAATGCACGCCAGATAACTTATACGAAGGAGGATTTTCTTCCCTCCTAATCTCTCTCACCTTTTTCTCCCTTCCTACTTGAACATTTACGATTAAGTCATGTCAATATCTTATATTGATTTTTATATAGAGACAATAAGACAAAAATGAGTGTGTGAGAGGAGGGGAAGGAAAGGGATGAGAATAGGAGGAGATAGAATCCTCCCCCAACTTATACACTCCAAATCCCTAGTATTATTAGTCGGGTCGCTGGAAACAAAAACACGCTGGCTCTTTTTCCATCTCCCTCTCGCAGATTACCCTAGGGCCATCCGATCCATCTTCTCAACCAATATTCCTTCTTCTCTCTCGACGAAGAAGAAATTGGAGTGTTGAGGGTGCGGCTATGTATGGTTATTGGGGATGGGGATTGGGTGGTGGAATAAGTTGGAATTAGGGAAACTCAATGAACAGGTCATCGACCTGCGTTTGCAGATACTCGTGGCGACAACTTCTATGTCTGGATCAAATAGACGGGCTCTAATAGCAAATATGATTTTAAATTGAAAACTCAGTGCCATTGAATGTTCTTCAATCTCCTTTTGAGGAAGTAGATGAATATGATAGGCTTTGATTCTTTGTGCAGCGGCAACTTTTATTACTAGAAGGAGGAAGAAGTGTAGAGAAAAACAAGTCCAAGATGAACTAAGTTTTTATTTTTTTTAACTAAGAACAGATTTAATCAATGCTCTTTAATTGTTTATACTCTTAAAAAAATATATGGGCATTATTTTTTTTTCATAAAAAAATAGGTATTTAATCTGATAATGTACCAAACACCTAACTAAATAGTAAGTACGCCCCGGTTAAATAGTCAGTACTATCTGATGATAGATTATCCTATCCGACTGAAATAGTCAGTACAGTTCAAGCTGTCAAATGAGGCCTAAAGGTATAGCTTTCAAGTTATTTTTTACTCATTCGTTAAAGGGACAACATGTCTTGTTAACCCTAAAAATTTGAAGCGGGCTTAGTTTAACCACAAAAGAAGTGAGAAAGATTAATTAATTTTGTATCCTTAACCGAGCCACTTAGTACTACAGTCTAGTATTATTTTTCTTCACTTGTAAGTGAGAGGTCTTAGGTTTGATTCACACCAAAGGCAAGTTTGATCCACATTACTACTAGCCCATTGTGAGACTAAGCCCACCCCCACCCCCTCAGTGTAGATAATATCGTTTGCTAAAAAAAAAAAAAATGTATCCGTAACTTATCTTTGTACCATTCATCACTTTTAAATTCATGTTTAGTTACAAGTCCTGTGATTCGATATCAATAATACTAGCTAGAAATTAAATTATGTAATTTTAATGTCACATGTTGGCAAATTGTGATCTCTGTCATAATTATAAATAGGAAGCTTTTAAGGGAAGTAAGCTCTATTTTTTATTTTTTATTTTTGTATAAAAATAAGGATTAGTTGTAGGCCATACATCACATCGAATTTTAATTATCCGAATTGTCTATTTTAAGTTGTACTTCATAAATCATTTTTGCAAAATATTAACCAAATTAGAAATATTTGAGGCATCTAATTGGGTTAAAAGAAATTGACGAACATTTTATTCTCTAAGAAACAATGAAACTTCATTGTGATAATTAAATATGCAAATAATTTCGGATTGATTTGGTTTTTGTAAGGACAATCTATGAATCGAGACTTACAAAGTAGATAGTTTGGATCGGTGAAATTCAATGTAGAGTGGTTCCCACAACTAATCCATCCCTTCTTTTAGAGCATCTCCAAAGCATACGTCAAATTCAAAACATCAAATTTAAATTTGATGGCTGACTTGACAATTTGACATATTGTCAATATTTTCCTTCCATCGGTATGCCAAATCTTATTGCTTCACTTATGTTTTTTTTTTAAGCAAAAATAATAAAAGTTGGGGTGTTGTTGACTAACATTTATAGTAAGACAAGTGGAATGCCTTTAGAAATAGCAAAAACCAAATTTGAATGCAACTTCAAATTTGATCTCTTTGTTTATGTCTGCTTAGTCTTCTTTTCCATGTTATCTTTGACATCTCAGTTGGAGTAAATAGTATGTCATTTGTTACCGTTATATGCTTATGTGGTATTTTTTACATGTCATTTGAAGATTGTCTTAAAGGTCTGATCATAAATACTCTGGCCATTTAAAATTGACTAATGCTTAGTAAACTAAATAATGTATTACCAATAAGAAATAAGCGCATGTTAATCAATACTTAATAATAAGTCAACCATCAATTTTTATGTCATTTAGTTTATAAAATTTTATCGACAAATTTAATCTTTTTATCAACAAATTTAAGAGAGTTTTATCAACAAGTTTAGTCCCTTTAAAATTTAATTTCCGCACTCCAAAAAAAAAAAAAAAAATTAATAATTTCTCAATTTCTCGCCTGCGCCGGCGTCTGAAATGGCTAAAAACTCCCTAAAGAATGACTTTACAGGGAATTTTCCGCAGTCTCGCGGAATCGGTAAGAATAAAAACCCTCTGTCTCTCTCTCTCTCTCCCTCTCTCCTCCTCAACCCAATTAATCGGCATGTATTTGTTTCAGGCATGAGCTTCCTCAAAGGACTCATCGATTCTTTCGGCTCCGTCTTCTCCGCCGCCTCCTCCGATGAGTCTCACCCAAACTCCAGTCCTCCGCCCGATTCCTCCACCATGGACGGCGTAGCTGGCCCATCTTCCGTCTCCAACGAGCGTGTCGCATACAAGCTCAAGGGCTATTTCGAATTGGCGAAGGATGAGATCGCCAAGGCCGTTAGGGCTGAAGAGTGGGGCTTAGTCGATGACGCCATTGCTCACTACAGCAACGCCCAGAGGGTTCTTGTCGAGGCCACCTCCACTCCCGTGCCTTCCTATATCACCCTCAGGTTTTCAACTTTCTGAGCTCTGTGTTCTTCTTCTTGTGCTTTTCTTCATCTTTGATTATTGTTGAAGTGTTGCTGAAGTTGTTATTCTGAAAAAATTGGTGG